CATCTTTTTAGCGTATCCATATATGAATTACAAAGTCTGCCGCACTGATGACACCTCTCACACGAAGTGGCGCTACTGGAATCAGCTTTGATGGCTGATGTGGGATTTTACTGAAGAAGGGACTCCAAGACAGGATGAAGCAGCAGAAAGCAGTTTACTGATTTAAGAGGGTTTTAAAAATCACAGAAGAATCTCATTCCACATGAGCTTCCCATGATCACTCTCACTCCATCTTTCTATTCATGGGATTTTACATGTGGGCAAATGCAGAAGCAGATAAAAATACATGAGAGAAATAAAAGTCCATAGTAGAAGTCCATAGTCCACCTATGGACAGCAAAGTCGGCATCCTTAATATACATACACAGTCATATATATTGTCCAAAATATACAGTCATACTGTGTACATATACATAATTTTATAATAGTAATAACAATAACAATAATAATAATAATAATGCCTTATCATGTTATACTATATTTGTCATTTTTCAGTTTTTGACATAATATGAAAATGCCTTTCGTCCTTTATATTGTGTGTAAATTTGATGATGAATGGACTAAAAGAAACAACCCAAAATTACTTGGAAAGATTTTGGTTCCATTGACTTACATTAAAAGTAAAATAAGTTTTTTCCTTGTTCTGTAAAGTCATCATTTTGGAGATACAAGGTTTTCTTCCGACAAGAGCGAGATATATATATTCATCTATATTTTATATTATATATATATATATATATATATATATATATATATATATATATATATATATATATATATATATATATATATACACACTACATTGCCAAAAGTATTCGCTCGTCTGCCTTCACACGCATATGAACTTGTGTGATATCCCATTCTTAATCCATAGGGTTTAATATGATGTCGGCCCACCCTTTGCAGCTATAACAGCTTCAACTCTTCTGGGAAGCTTTCTACAAGGTTTAGGAGTGTGTTAATTTTTGACCATTCTTCCAGAAGTGCATTTGTGAGGTCAGACACTGATGTTGGACGAGAAGGCCTGGCTCGCAGTCTCCGCTCTAATTCATCCCAAAGCTGTTCTACTGGGTTGAGGTCGGGACTCTGTGCAGGCCAGTCCAGTTCTTCCACACCAAATCATCCATGTCTTTATAGACCTTGCTTTGTGCACTGGTGCACAGTCATGTTGGAACAGGAAGGGGCCGTCCTCAAACTGTTCCCACAGAGTTGGGAGCATGAAATTGATGAAAATCCCTTGGTCTGCTGAAGCATTAAGAGTTCCTTTCACTGGAACTAAGGGGCCGAGCCCAACTCCTGAAAAACAACCCCACACCAAACTTTACACTTGGCACAATGCAGTCAGACAAGTACCGTTCTCCTGGCAACCGCCAAACCCAGACTCGTCCATCGGATTGCCAGACAGAGAAGCGTGATTGGTCACTTCAGAGAACATGTCTCCACTGCTCTAGAGTCCAGTGGCGGCTCTTTACACCACTGCATTCGACGCTTTGCATTGCGCTTGGTGATGTAAGGCTTGGATTCAGCTGCTCAGCCATGGAAACCCATTCCATGAAGCTCTCTACGCTGTTCTTGAGCTGATCTGAAGGCCACATGAAGTTTGGAGGTCTGTAGCGATTGACTTTGCAGAAAGTTGGCGACCTCTGTGCACTATTAGCCTTAGCATCCGCTGACCCCGCTCTGTCATTTTACGTGGCCGACCACTTCGTGGCTGAGTTGCTGTCGTTCCCAATAGCTTCCACGTTGTTATAATACCACTGACAGTTGGCTGTGGAATATTTAGTAGCGAGGAAATTTCACGACTGGACTTGTTGCACAGGTGCCATCCGATCACGGTACCACGCTGGAATTCACTGAGCTCCTGAGAGCGACCCGTTCTTTCACTAATGTCTGTAGAAGCAGTCTGCAGGCCTAGGTGCTTGGTTTTATACACCTGTGGCCAAGGAAGTGATTGGAACACCTGAATTCAATGATTTGGATGGGTGAGTGAATACTTTTGGCAATATAGTATATAATAGAAAAGGCATATAATAGATATGGATTTAATAGATAATAGATATAATAGATATGGCATATGGATTTCTGGGTTCCTCTGATTGATGGAGATGTCCATCTCTGTCCTCTTCTTGGTTACATTCCTGCCGCCGCGAAACACAAAGCCAAGAAGTCTGGCGAGCTGAGAAAGCGTTCAGGATTAATCTGGACACATACATTCATTTACTTCAGCTATAACAAGAACAGCAAGGGACACAGAATTTTCTAAATTTCACCACAATCCTATGTTAGCACATTAGTGTGTTCCCTCCAACATCACTTTGACCATGTCTGAACATTTATTATGAGCAATAAATGAAACCTCCTTTTAGCTGTTTTGCAGAACAACCAAAGGCAGCTTTTGGCCAGTTTTGACTAAACATTTTAATTATAGAGTAACAAAGGCAAATTAAAAATATTAACAATTTGAAGAACAGCACAAACAAGCCTCACACATTCACCTGCTTGTTCATATATTCAAATGACCTGGTCTTTAAGAGGCACTATAGAGTAAAATAGCTCTGAAATGTTACAGAGATGTTCAATATGATACTATATAACAACAAAGAGTCTATTGCATATACACTGACCGGCCACTTCATTAACTGCACCTCCTTGTATCTACACTCACTGTCCATTTTATCAGCTCCACTGACCATACAGGAGCACTCTGTAGTTCTACAATTACATACTTCACTACCGTGTTCTTCAGTGGTCAGGACCCCCATGGACCCCCACAGAGCAGGTTTTATTTGGGTGGTGGGTCATTCTCAGTACTGCAGTAACACTGACGTGGTGGTGGTGTGTTAGTGTGTGTTGTGCTGTATGAGTGGATCAGACACAGCAGTGCTGCTGGAGTTTTTAAACACTGTGTCCACTCACTGTCCACTCTATTAGACACTCCCACCTTGCTGGTCCACAGAAACAGATGTACTACAGTCTGTAACCATAAAGTGGTCCTATTTGGTAAGTTTAGCTGATAAAATGGACAAAGAGTGTAGAAACAAAGAGGTGGACTGAAGGCACTCATATAATCCAATAAACTTGGTCAGGCTACCACACATATTCACAGTCAGTGACGTATTTAGAACTTCCAGAAGGCCTAAAATTACATTTTTTGTCACAAAGTTGGTTCCAGTCATTGGAAATCAATGTGAAAGGCTGATTCCACTGTTCTTAATTGTGTTAGTGGTAAATCTGACAAATTAGGCTTTCATTTCAGCTTCTGAAGTCCTAACCAATGAGAGAGCTAGCCTGGCTGGAGAAAAAAATCCTGATTGGATGATTTTCCGTCTGGCTTTTCAAGAATTTAAATCTTTTGTTTCCAACCAAAACTAAACAATTAAATAAAAGTATTTTAATAATCAATAAAATTGGGGAGTTTTACTGAGTATTTGATCGCCCTCAAAGCACATGTTTTTTTTTATTTTTTCTCTGTGAGAATGTTCATTCTCTACAGGAAAACATTCTTAAATATGGCATTTTTCTGCTAATTGTACTGCACAGTTTCTGTGAGTTTAACATACTGGAAATAAGTAAAATCTAAAAAGTGTCAACGTTTGCACAGATCACATTTCATGTGCTAATTTCAGCAAATAAACAGTAATTGTGTATTAAAATGTGCAGAAATTTGCTCTCTGTGCTTATTTTCACTTAGAAAATCTACAAAAACATACCGTTTGAAAAGGAGTGCCTAAACTTTTGCATACTAACTGTACTCATGTTGCATACCTCAAAGAGTGATCAGCCGCATGGTAATGACAGTACCCAGCCACTCTGGAAAAGGGAAAATGTAGCTTTAATAAAACAGCTGTGCACCTTTACTGTTTCATCTCAGCATCTGCACATTATAGCAGAATGTAAAGAGGCCCTTTAGTCAAGGCCTTCATACTCTGTCAGCACATACTGTATCTAAACACTGTTTTTTAATGTGTGGTCATTTTTCCATATTCAGCAGGATTTTATTTCCCTTTCCAAAAAACGGAACTCATAACAAAAAACTCTCAAAACTCTTCCGCATGGGAAGAGAGAAGTAAGAAGAGGAAGAAGAAGCAAGTACGTTCATATAACCCAATTCCAATACTAACAAAAACAGAGAGCCATAATCGTAGATTTACAAATCACTGTTTTTTGTGTTTATTTGCAATTTACCTGCTGTCCCAATTTTTTGGAACTGGGTTTGTAATTTAGTATACTCACCATAGGCCACCGTGTGTTGGTGAGCGTCTGACGACGTCCCTAAAGAACAAAGGAAACAACAGTATGATAACGGTGTGTGATTGGAGGAAGAAAACATTACTGCTTTTATCCTTCTCAGCTATTTTGCTCATATTTTAGAATACATCTGCATGATCCACATTCCATGCTCTCAAGTCAGCAAGTCCATTGTTTTTCTGGAAGTTATTGCAAAACTTTGGACATCTCTGATCAAACAACACAAGTGAAAATAAATGATTTCCTCCAGTAAACAAACTTGAATAATCAAATTTTCTGCATATTTTGTCAGTTATGTGCCAGCTTTACACATATAAGAAATATCAGTACTACATTATAATGAATAGTACCTTTATTACAAAAATAAAAATGTATTTTTCCATTAAAGTGCAGCAAAGAATATTTTTGCTCATTTTATAAAATGCATTTGATTTGAATGATTTGAAGTACATTTTACATGCATTTCTTTTTCCATATGGGATTAAAATTATTTTTTAAATGTCATTATTAAGAGATAATAAGTCAGTACTTTGAGAACGCTAGTGACTATGTTGAGATATTACGTCATTGTTGTCGTTATTTCGAGATACTAAATTACTATTGTTGAACACAGTTGTCAGAAACAAAGGCAGGAAAAACCGGCTCTTCTTTGTCTCTTGTACTTGGCTTCCTGTTTACAAGCTGAGTGGACTGGGATTCCTTTGGAAAAAAGCCACCCAGGAAGTATTATGAAACCTCTGTGTTGCGTAAGACTTGTTTTGAAAGCCTCTTTTGCAAAAACAGGCACCGTCATGTTTCAAAACATGCCTTCCGAAGGACAACATACTGCAGATTTTTGGTCTTTTATGGCTCTTTTTGTGTGGATTACTCAGTTTTTTTGGGGGATTTTGCCCATCGATTGTGGATTATTGGAACTAGCAGGCATTGCCTTTGATGCATAATAATAAGGTAGGCAGAGTGCAGTTTTTATTGCTTCTCAGCGTTTGTGCAGATCAGACTCAGTAGTCCTGCTATGTGCTGTTAGATTGTGTTTTGCAGGCCACCTCACCATCTTGTGCTCAAAAAATACTCTTTTTTGCAAGAAATTGCATTAATGTAGATCTAAATAGTGCAAACTTGCAGGATTTGATTTAAAAATAGACTTCTGAAAATGTGCATGCACGCCAAACACTTTCATTTTAACAGTGCACTCACTTTTTCATAGTGCTGTACACAGTCAGACACAGCCAACTATGTATTCCTGCAGGCTGGACCAAATCTACAACCCATTTCCAAAAAAGTTGTGCAAAATGTAAATAAAAACAAAATGCAATGATGTGCAAATCATTTAAACCCTATATTTATTTGAAAATAGTACTAATACAAAATATCAAATGCTAAAAAAAAACACCTGGTGGTTGATTGGCAATAGCTCAGTGGCATCACTGGGTAGAAAAAGGGCATCCCAGAGAGGCTGAGTCTTTCATAAGTTAACTTTTTTGCAGGGGCTCACACCCCTCCCATTTGGAGCTATGGTCCACCTATTTGGATTTACACCCCTCCCATTTGGAGCTATGGTCCACCCATTTGGACTTACACGCCTCCAGTTTAGAGCTTTGGTCAACCCATTTGGAGCGGTACCCCTCCCATTTGGTGGTAAAACTTCCTTTCCTGTCTGTTTTCATTGACTTCGCCTGATCTAGTCTCACCATGGGGATCAACATGTTAAGTCAGCAGGTTATTTAGTGAGGCCATGGACTAGAGATCATTCAAAATCAAAGAAATCAGACTGCAAAGGATGTTTCTTTCAACTACCTGGACGCAGCCCTGGAGTACCCTCTGCCCTGCACATTTTAGCATTTTCTCAGTTCTATTACATCTGACCCAACCCATCAGCTAAACAACGAGCCCCTCCTGTGGTAAAGGGGGTTTGTTAGAGCAGGGAAAACAGTGTGCAGGACAGAGGGGAACTCCAGGACCGGGAATCTGTATTTTAGTGGATGGTTTCATTCTATTTATCTATATTTTTCCAAAATTGATGCTGACTAATAGCATACGACTATTTTTTGGGGCATTACATTATGTTGTTTATTGTTTTATTGTGCTTTCTAGGTATTACAGGAATTCAGTGCCGATAGCCGGTATTTGTCATTCATATATCTGTCAATGTTGATGCATGAACGTTTATAAAATGCACAAAATATGACTGGATCCATCTGAATTAGCATTACAAAAAAATTTAACACCTACTTGTATAGAGTTGGACAAAAATGAATAAAATGCAGACATAAACAGTCATATTTCAATGTGTGTATAAGAGATGCACTGATATGGGAGCTGTAGGCCAAGGTCAATATCTGATACTTTAAATGTATTATATATAACATTTATCTCTGTAGGGTGCTCAGTAAACGTTCTGCTCTTCTGCTCTCGCGCATTCATAGTATTTAACTAACTAGTAATTAATAGTATTTAACTTAGCATTTATTACTTTTTTCACCAATTGCAGTAAGTGAAATACTGTTTTTCATTCTAGCATGAATGAGATTCGTTGGGTAGGGTGTGATAGTAGATGTTGCTTAGAACCCCCATGTTCAGAAACAGACTTGCAGACAGATATTTAGCATAATTAGAGGATTGCTATGGAATAAATACCGTCACTAGATGGCAGTGCTACTACACAAATTGTGCCTCCTTACCTTCAGTTGATGAAAGCGGGGCACTGCTTTTACCTGCAAAGAACATGCACACATAGATTTCAGTCACCATTTCAGTCATTTTCTAACTATACATTAGTCTTAAATGTTAAACATTAGCCAATGTGTACCACGCAGCTCGTTCCACTGCTTGTAAAAGGACCTCTCTGAGGTCATTGCTGCACTGCATCTCCTGCCAGAGTGGTCAAAAGGTGACGACTGTAGGCATTTTTAATGCTATACAGTAACTTCTTTCCACTGATTGCATGTCATATAGGATTTTATGAAGTCTAACTTGTTCTTAACAAAACAATGGTTGCATATTTAATCCAAGTATTTATAGCTGATTTTAAGACAAAATAAAATAATCATCACCATCATTATCATCATTCAGACCCTATCATCAGTCCAGACAGGGTCATGGTATTCTCCCACCGCCTATACAGCACTGCACGGGTCCCCCATGCTGGACCTTGCATGTAGTGGGGCAGCATGGTCCCCGGATGTTGCCTTTTCGGGCTGAGTCTGGCCGGGTTACATGGGCTGCCCTGCCACCAGGCGCTCAACCAGGAACCGTACCCCCAGGCCTGGCTCCAGGGCCAGGTCCCGGTAACCCTCTCCCGGGCAGGGTACACGATTTCTTTTGTCCCTTAGTCTGGGTCTTCACTCCAGACCTGTTCGCCTTGGGAGACCCTACCAGGAGCATATTGCTCCAGACGACTTAGCTCTAAGATCCCTAGACCACACAAGCCTTTCCGCCACGGCAAGGCCCTGATCCAGACCATGTTAAGCTTATAGAACTACTTTTTCCTGTATGTGTGTTGGGGGGGGGCTGTTTTGGGGGTCAGTCATAGAAGCATGACGACATGTTGATTTCCTGTCTGTGAATGAACTTCCCACCTCTGACCATATTTTTTATTTCAGTGTAAGCACCAACTTCTTAGTCATTGCAAAGTCTTCTGTAAAATGGGAAGGCATAATGCACTTTCTTGCCATTTTACATGGACATCACTTGTTACAGTATCTACTACCTGAGAAAGTATGAAATATCTGCCGCTTTTGCCGTATTTTCCTTGTAGAGGACGCACGTGATTTTACAGGCTGTCAGGATTTGCTACATCACACCGAGGAAATGCTCCACCCAGGGATGGATTACTGACCAGGCCACTGGGGCCAGTACTGGGGCCTCAGATGAGGTTTGTGGTGCCGCTATTAAATGAAGGAGTGGCTCTTGAATGTCTATAAGTGATTAAATCAATGAAATAAATGAAATGAAATCTGTTCAGAGGCCAGATATCTGATTTTCAATTTGATTACTGATATTGTCATTCTAATGGGATGTTAGCGTTTACCATACTGTTTGTGTAGGACTACTTCTGATCTTGCATTATGAGTCAGTTTGTTTTAAAAGAAAAAGAAGAAAATATATATATATATATATATATATATATATATATATATATATATACACACACACTGCCATGAACACGGTGAAACCTTTATAGTGTGCCCAGAAAATCTGAAGGTACAGAACAAAATGAAAAATTAAACACATGAAGCACAATGAACTCCCCCCACCCCTTCTATTAACACACCTTCCCAAACAAAGCGGGTATAAATACCCCCACATAAACACCAGGGAAGCTGCATCTATAATGTAGGCTAAGCTAAACAACACCATTATCGTTTACAACGTAACGTTAACAGAAGCAACTCAGCCTCCCCTGAAACCATGTTGACATGGTTTAATGTCCGAAGGGCTACAGCATGGACTGTAGAAAGTTTGGGAACCACCCAGGTTGCGTTTCAAAACTTCAAATCAGATCGAAGCAAGTGATTCATTCTGCTCAAACTGTTTGAATCACAGCACGTGCAAGTGGTGCAAACATAGGTAAGACTTTACAATGACTGAGAAGACTGATAGTGCCTAAAAAGGGAGCTTGGAGCCAAGAATGAGAAACCAAGGTGAGTTCAATCATAAGTCACCACAGTGACAAAGTTAGAACTTTGGGGAGGAGGACCTCTGGTGGTGAGGCGCAGGTATGCCATGTATTGTGGTGCATTAACTACGATGCATATCAAGAAATGTGTATTGTTACACCCTTTGTAGAAGTAGTAGATACAAAAAGATGACTTACATGAGCACTGCAACTTCTTATCAAACTGTAAGAAAAAAACAGTCATAGTTAGAGAACACATTTAAAAAGCCAACTATTTGTATGTATGCAACACATTAAGTAACTGAAGTTTATTTGATGTCTGATGACAAATAACTGTAATAATGAAGATTTACAATGTGATAAACATACATCAATGCTGGCGCAGCTGAGGCGAAAGGTCAGTGAATGAAGGCAGGTGTCCATTGTAACAGTGTCTGAGGTGGCAGAGATGACTGGAGCAACGTAACCATCAGCTGAGGCCACGACCCTTTCCTGACAAAGGGCAAGAAAAATAGTATTAAACAGTACGTGATTATGCTCTGCCGAGGCAACATAGATAAACAGAACACTGGCTAACAAGTGTTACCCAACTTAATATTGTGTAACTGTGCCTAAATTATCACACTTGTCCTAAACTATATAACAGTGTGTCATACAGGGCTAGAATTGCATAAGCAAGTCTACCTGAGATTTACTTAAAGCCTTAGGGAACCTAAATGTGTATTTTATATACAAATTAAGTAGGTTAACCTTGATCTTATGGGCACACAAAGGCCCAAATCCACTTCTTATTTTTACCCCTACCCCTTGTTTTCGAGTGTCTCCTTGAAACTGAGTTACAAGGGGTAGTGGCTGAAATCTTACCTATGAAATGGGACCCTCAAATAAAAAGAGCATCACTTCATTAACAGCTACTAGCGCTGCTCTGTAGGCGACCCTGCCAGTCTGCAGTGACAGCAGAGGAGGGTAAAGTTCAGCTCCTCACTGCTGGGCTTTAGTTACGTTTAGGGAATCATACGCCTTCAAAGAGGGGGGCAATTGTTTATTATCGCCCACCCCTAATTCTTCAGTGATATGAAGCTGAAGTCAGATATTCACCAGCTTCTCGTTCGAATTTTCCCGTTCCACCTTAAATGGAGCAGCAGTTACATTCTGGCGCTTCAGGCGTCGGTACTGCTGGACTATTTAAGGTGGAACGGGAAATTCAGCTAGCTAGCTACCGAGACACGAGCACACTATTAGCGATTTTTTATGCATGTTATGAAGAAAAGGACCATAATACACTGAAAAGACATTAAACTAATATAATGATCATATTTTTTAACAGAGAAAATTCTCACATTTGTGGGTTTCACTGGTCGCTCGCCATCTTACCCTACCCCTGAGGCGTGAACATGCAAAACAGAGAGCTAAGGGCTAAGTGGTGGGGCGAGGGGTGAAATGAGATTGGGCCAAAGTATCAGTGTCCACTAAAAGGCCACTGTATTTTGCAAAATTCTCCCTTTTCAGTGGGCGCTTTTAATCTTAATCGTTACCCTGACCAGTCACAAGGCTGATGTGCCAGCTTTAACAAAACTGTGTTCCCTCATGGCCTCTCTGTCTTTAAAACTAACCACCAAGTAAAAGTTAACCCAGCGACATAACTGTCTGCCTGTTGTTTGTCCGTCCGTCTGTCCATCCATTTATCCATTTGTTCATTCAAACCGCCACATTCTGATAGGCTCCAGCACCCCCCGCAACCCAGGAGGATAATCGGCTCAGATAATGTGTGTGCATTAATATAGTGGGGGTCTACAGTACCACTTCACTCAGTTCTAGTCACTTGCGCTGTTGGGTTTAGTTCTGCATCAGTGGTGTTGCGGGACGGCTTCCACTAACTGTTAGCTTGTTAGCCTCAAAGCTGCTAACTTTGGACATTAAACCTCTTTGTGTTGGCTGTTTTGACTACATTTGGGGTAAAGGGGGAAAAGCGTTTAGACCTGATGTTTGGCTGAACTTCATTTCACTTGCTTTTTAAAGAAAGGTTAAGAGAGAGGAGGAAGAATTTAGCATTTACATCAATGCTCCAGTAGGCAATGCACGGGTGATCAGTCATTTTCTCTGTGATTGAGCGTGGAAGTCTGAAGAGAACTTGGCCGTTGTTGAGTGGTGTTCCGACACATTGAGGGTCAGGAGCAGGGGCTGCCAGAGTCCTTGTGGTGAGGCACAGCAGCACGGCCACACCTGAGAAAGAACACATACAATAGCACATTTAATGTAGTCAGTCAGTCTGTAAATCAGGCAAATTATTTTGTGACCCCCCAACACTGTTACCACACAAAGCCCAACAGTGACTGTGATCCTGGAACGTGTTAAAACTGCTGTGGAAATTTTCCAGTACTCAAATATAAAGAAAGAAGAATTGATAGCTCAAAAATCTAGCATGAACAGTTTATTCACAGGACCAGCAAAGCTACTGTCACTGTTGTTATTGTATTGTTATTAACTATGGATGCACAATTCCCCCTTTTTGTCTCCTGATACCAATTCTGATAAACATCTATAAACACTGATCAGGCATAACATTATGAGCACCTCCTTGTTTCTATGCTCATTGTCCATTTTATCAGCTCCACTTACTATATAGGTGCACTTTGTAGTTCTACAATTACAGACTGTAGTCCATCTGTTTCTCTGTATACTTTGTTAGCCCCCTTTTACCCTGTTCTTCAGTGGTCAGGACCCCCATGGACCCTCACAGAGCAGGTTTTTGGTGGTGGATCATTCTCAGCACTGCAGTAACACTGATGTGGTGGTGGTGTGTTAGTGTGTGTTGCGCTGGTCTGAGTGGATCAGACACAGCAGTGCTAACAGAGTTCTGTTAAGGCGCTTTTTTGTAGTAGCAAAGTAAAATTTACAGTAGTAGCTAATGGATAAATAAAAAAATATATAATTTTATAACAATCATAACTAGGGCTGAAATTAATAATTTTTATTAATTAATAATAATTCAAAATCACAATTTAAGAGAGTGCAATTTTCAAATCACAAGAGCTGCATTTTTTTTTAAAGTTACAGCCTATTTATGTCTTAAGTTTTAAGAGGGGAAATTTAACCTAATAACACAGCTGTATACTCCCTTTACAGTTAGATCCATCACAGGCAACCAAACCTCCATGTGTTGTGTCATCACAACCACAACTTACTGCCTTTCTGGCACACTACATTAAGGGTCAAGCCTCAAGCCAGAAACAGTGGACATTCTGGTCTTCTTGATTAAAAAAAAAACTGGTCTGAACCCAAATTAAAAAAATAATCACAATTTAAATCACAATATTAGTCAGAAAAATCACAATTAGAAATTTTCCCCAAGTTCTTTAGCTCTAACCATGACTAAGCAACAGTATCGAATGTGGAACGGTCACCGTTCAATAAGGTCAGTATCAGCCAAAATATACACACAAATATATATATATATATATATATATATATATATATATATATATATATATATATATATATATATATAGAGAGAGAGAGATTTTTTGCCATACTTTTTTTCCCTAATTGCTTTCAGTCACATAAAATACTTATGCTTATATGCTTATATTAGTTAGCAGGACTGTCAGTATTGATTTTATTAGTAAATTAGTAATCTACAATCATTTTGATGATCAGCTAAGTAATCAAAAAAGATAAAATGATAATGAATAATAAAATTTGAAAAAAAAAACAAACATTTTTTCAGTTTGCGTACTGAGTTTTAATGATTCATCACGACAGCCCTGTCATGCAGGTGAATGTGTAACAAGCATTATTTTTCATGTTAATATGTCTGAAACAACAAAACAAGCGGACAATCAATCACATTAAAGGGGAATTCCACTTTTTTTTACTTTCTACATAATTCAGTGGGTGAGATGTAAATCATCCAGAGTGGTTTGATGTGAAATGGCTCACTGCGGAAAAAAATTACTGGCTCTGATTTCTTTACAGTGGTAGTGAATGGAACTGGGGCCATTTATTTACTATGCAGAACCACCTGTTAACCTAAAATATGTCTTCTTAGTTTTTATATGGAATGATGATAAAATAATGATAAATCTGTAAAAAAAAAAATTTACCCCTCCTCCATGAATTTAGATGATACATTGTAGGCCAAAGCCTTGGCCTAAAATATTGATAAACAATGTCTCAGTCATCAGGCAGTGAACTCATAACCACTTCATGCAATAACTTTCTTTTTGAGCGAGTTTTTAGAGGCATTAAACTCTTTA